AGAAAACGAGAATACAACCATAAATACTGTATGAAAATAGACCACAAAGTCGGCATTTTAATTAAAAAAAAAACAGTTTTTTTTCTCATTATGCACTGCGTGCTCCAGGATTTTTTTTATACGGTGCACACTGACCACACAGACCCATTCTCTCACATGTGGGCCTACCAGCTTTCTCCTGCTTGATTTGAAGCTGCTAGAATTTATGAGTATATATACGTCAAACACGGTACCTCGTAAGACGTATATATACGGCCGTGACAGTCAAAGGGTTAATCTTTGAAGAAAGCAACTTACTCAATTTCTCTCTCCCCTCCTCTGAAGCAATTTCCTCAGTTGTGGCCTCTTGCTATTGCAGATACTCTTGCAGCTCATCAGTGGTTCTTCATCGTCGTCCTCCACCAACTCTTCCACATCCTTCCCACTAACCTCCAACCCCAAGGACTTCCCCAATGCCACAATAGATTCCATAACTGGCATAGGCTTCTCAGGGTTAGCCCCAAACCCTTCAAAATCCCTCTCTTCTACACATTCTGGCCACAGTTTCCTCCAAGCAGAGTTCAAGGTCCTCTTAGTCACTCCCTCCCTGCCTTACCTATAAGGTTTATGCAATTAAGGATACTAAAGTGATCTTTCCAAAACTCGCTTAGAATCAATCGAGTGTCTGAGGTCACTTCCGAGCACTTTTGAAATATAGCTTTTGTGTAGAGTTTTTTGAAGTTTGAAATGACCTGCTGGTCCATGGGCTGCAGGAGAGGAGTGGTATTAGGAGGCAAAAACCTCACTTTTATGAAGCTCAAGCCCCCCGACATTCGCTCTGGCAAGTCTGAAGGATGACCAGGAGCATTGTCTAATACCAGGAGGCACTTAAGCTCCAATTTATTTTCCAGGAGGTAATTTTTCACAGTTGGGCCAAACATATGGTGAAACCTGTCATAGAAAAAGTCCCTAGTGACCCATGCCTTACTGTTTGCCCTCCACATCACACACAAATTAGCCTTGAGGACATTGTTTTTCCTGAACCCTCTGGGAGTTTCAGAGTGATACACGAGTAGAGGCTTCACTTTACAATCCCCACTAGCATTACTACACAACAGTAAGGTTAGCCTGTCTTTCATAGGCTTGTGTCCTGGCAGTGCTTTTTCCTCCTGTGCAATGTAGGTCCTGTTTGGCATTTTCTTCCAAAACAGGCCTGTTTTGTCACTAACACTTGTTGGGGTTTCAGTCCTTCAGCCTCTATGTACTCTTGAATTCCTGCACATATTTTTCAGTCGCTGTTTGGTCTGAACTGGCAGCCTCACCATGCCTTATCACACTATGTATGCCACTGCGATTCTTAAATATCTCAAACCAACCTTTGCTGGCGTTAAATTCACTCAAATCACCACTAGTTGCAGGCATGTTTTTAATTAAATCGTCATGCAACTGCCTTGCCTTTTCACATATGATCACTTGAGAGATGCTGGCTCCTGATATCTGTTTTTTGTTTATCCACACCAATAACAGTCTCTCAACATCTTCGAGTACAAGCCATCTGTGTTTCAAAAACTAACTTGCACCTTTCGCAACAACAGCTTTCTTGATTGCCTTTCTGTTGGCCAAGATAGTAGCGATGGTTGATTGGGGTTTGTTATTCAACCTGGCCAGCTCAGAGACACGCACTCAAGTTTCATACTTTGCGATGATCTCTTTCTTCATTTCAATTGTAATTCTCACCCTTTTTACCACAGGGTTGGCACTAGAAGCTTTCTTGGGGCCCATGGTGGATGCGACTGTTCTGGCTTGTAAACACTGGCACACTAACTGAAGGCAGGGCAGCTAAGGTGCACTCAGGCCAGACGGGACACATGGATGTGTTCGGGGCGAATCATGTTGGTCGGGCCAAAATTTTTACGCTCAAACGCTTTGTTAGTCGAATTTATCGTTAGACGATGCCTTCATTGGTCGGGGGTCCATTGTACATAATTCATAAATAAGAGATATTTACACTTTATAAATAAGAAATATTTACACTTACCTTGGAGGGGATGTTAATTTAATTAGTTTGATGGAGAAGATGCTGGCAGAGATTTTAGGGTGGTGGAAGATAGCAAGGCAGCATATGTTCAGTGGCCCTGTACACCTCCAACAACATTAGAGAGTTACCTTTGTGTCATTTTTCTATTGCTTAACTTACTGTTAATGCTGCACTTTGTTGGTGGCTGGCGCTATAACCTTTATCGATACCTGCTGCTTTAGTATCGTACATGTCGTAGAATTACTGAAGAAGGCACATTCTCCCCTCTCTCTTCCTCCTCCACTTTGGTACTTTGCTACAAGTTTTTTCTTGAATTCTATCATGTTTCTTTCCTTCTTTACTAAAGGACTGGCATATGAGCTTTCTTTGGGTGTGTGGTGGCTTATTTATAGTTGCAAGCACAAAAAACAATGGATTATTATGAAATGTATCATATGAACCCGTGGGGTGATGTTCACTCGCCCACAAATCATGCCACACTGACTCTATGAATGTTGTGTGGGAGCCTTCGTGTACGCCTGGCCACTTACTGCTGCATGGACATGTCCCGTACAACGGACGAATCACAAGGCCAATCACAAACTGCAAGGCTATATTTTAATGAAAAAAGTTGCCGAAAGTCGGATTTCATGAAAATCGTGGCCGCCAAAAATAGTTAACCCTTTGACTGTCACAATCCCAAATCTTGAGGTGTCTCCTGGTGTCAAAAAATATTTGAAAAAAAAAAGAAAATTATTTTTTCTTATGAAATGATAGAGAATCTTTTCCTGATGGTAATGACACCAAAAGTATGAAATTTGATGGAAACCTTCCGGAATTACGCTCTTGCAAAGTTAGTGACCTCGGCGATATTTACGAATCGGTGATTTCACCCACTTTGAGCCCTATTTTCCGCTAATTCCATTGTTCCAGTCGATGAAACTCATAGCTGTTTCTTTAGAACTCCATTTGTTCTGTCAAATGATTACAAGAAACTGCCCATTTACCAATTTCAATTACCCAGTAAAGTGGTCAGAAATTTGGCCAATTTCACGCAAATTAAAAAATACGCCAATTTCAAAATAGGGTCCAGAATGAACAAAGCAGATATTCCTGGCTCTAAAATAACATTTTCTTTGTTCATCAGTCATGTCTCCAGGCCCCTCTGATATTACTCTTGCTTTCTATTTTGAATTTTTATTCAAACAAAAAATAGAAGATTTACTGTTATGCAGACTACTGCAATATTATAATAATTGTATAAATAATGTCACCCCATTCATGACTGCATATTAAAATGGCTAGTTAGACATTTATTGGACAATGATGTCATTTGTTTACTCTTGAACATCGGCAAAAATCAAACATTTCCCTTACTTTGAGCTCCATTTCAAGGTCGTTTTCATAGTGAAATCAGTCAAAATCACCTCCATTTCTATAGTATGTTTTCTATTCTATCAAATGTGACTATGAACACGAGAATATAACCATAAAAACTATGTGAAGATACACCTCAGAGTTGGCGTTTTAATCCAAAAACACGGTCGGAGTTTTTTTTTTCTCTCTCTTTATGACTGCTTGCTGCAGGATTTTTTTATACTGCACACACTGACCACACAGACCCATTCTCTAATATGTGGGCCTACCAGCTTTCTCCTGCTTGATTTGAAGCCGGTAGAATTTTTGAGTATATATACGTCAAACACATTGGCTCGTGAGACGTATATACATGACCGAAACAGTCAAAGGGTTAAGGAGATTTCTCAGAAGCATCAGTAAGAGCAAGAGACTACAGTTGTAAACCAAGAAAAGAAAAAGGAATGTCAGGGGATACAATCAAGTTTTGCTTTGTGAATATTGCCAGAATATTCAAGTAAAATTAAAGAAAATTTATAGAAAATTAATGGAAAATTTAAAATATGTGTATAGTACTTGTTTGTTAGACTGAAGATGGGATACCATGAGCATAAGTTTTCTGTAACTTCAAATAAATTATTGTGTACTACACATGCATATTGTACAGTGCTGTACAGTATATAAATATTCTGACTAATTTCTAAATTTATTGGTGTCTAATTTAAATAAATAACTTCATTTCCATGCAGAAATATTTGACAAAATGTGATTGAAATAATGTAATTTTTCTCCATTTAATAATGATAACATCTTGAAAAGTTACCCATAATGTCAGGAACATTCAGTATATTTTATTTTTATCCATTGACAGGAAACTACAAGTGGAATTTTTTGACCTCTTGGTGTAATGTGCTACCATATTGCTATGCTGGTATGACTCATTAGTATATATGATGTTATAATACACACTATGTTATTTAGTGAAAGTACTGTGCTGTATATGTAAGTGTGTCAAACAAGGCTACTTGGTCATCTTTCACCTGAGAGGATATTCTTATGCTCTATAATTATGTACCTAGTTTCCCAAGGGCTATAACAACAAGTTATTGATCAATTTTGCTGCCATTTTCCTGTGCTCTGTTGTATGTATGATAGTGTTATAAAGCAACCTTGACTACAACTTGACTATATGTAATTTGTAAAACTTAAGCAGGCCTGAATGACTCGTATGTTTTAAAGTTTTTTAGGAATACCGTATAATAATTTGGAAATTTATGCATTTTCTTATTTTTTAAATTCTCTGTTATAACCATTGCACATTTATACATGGACAACACAAGTCAAACATGTTTATTCCCAATATGAAGTGAAACCTCCATATTCACTCCATCATTAACAGTTAACTTGGTTTTTTCATGGAAGTAATCTAGCCTTGTGTTGCCTTACATGAAGAATAAGGTCTGAAACAATTTTATTAATTATTTTATGAAGACTGTAATGGCAAGTTTTCCATGTGTCATACAAACAACACTGTATATATTTTTATGTGAAATATTGTTTTATATATAGCATTCATTGTAATTAAAATGACTAATGTGTAGTATGTGTATTTTTGTTTGTGCTAAAGGTTTTTTTTTTTATTTTTCAGAAATTTATATAAAAAATCATGGAAATTGACTCCTAATATGTTCTAAATCTGGAAAATTGCTTCAGACAATTTGATAGATGGAATAGTTCAAGTAGTGAAATCAAAATAGAAGTCACAGTATAGACTTGAAGACTGTGCAGTGTTTAATGATGTAAATGTATTCAGAAATTGTGAAGTGTGTACATTGTATAATGAAAGATAACATTACACAGAGTTAATAATGTTTGGTTTTTATGTGGATTTTAGTTTGAGGAATATGAAACTCAGTTTAGTAAAGGTGCTAGGACTATTTATCTTTCAATGAAGTAGCCTTCAGTTTTGTGGCTTGGTGAGGTGTGAGGCAGGTGTCCCATGTGTGGGGTGGCGCGGGACAAGACCGGTGAGAGTGACATTGTGCCCCCCCTGGAGGCCGCCATGCCTCCATCCATCACACTGGGATCTGAACCTCCCAAGCCCACAGCAGGTCCGGGTGATCATCTGCTTCCACAGGAGCCACCTGCGAATAAGGATATACCCACGATCGACTTGTCTTGTGATGAGAACGATGACTTGCAGAAGGCAATTGCGCTCAGTCTTCAGGACCAGCAGGGCACTACCACACTGCAGGGTGTTTCAGCTGAGGATCAAGAGGTTTCTCGAGCCTTGGAAGCTAGCCTAAAGGAATCTCAGCCTCAGGCTACCATTGACCTTTTGAATCCTCAGGAACGTAAACGACAGCCTGGAGTTCCTGTGGGCCTTAAAAATATTGGCAACTCGTGCTGGTTTAATGTTGTTATACAGCCTCTCTTTCACATACCAGTGTTTAGAGACTTGATCCTCAATTACTCTCAAAATGGGGATGTTGACGAGCAAATGGAGGAAACACAAAAATCCTCTCGGCAGCTTGTTCCAGCTTTACGTAAACTTTTTGCTTTAATGATTGGCTCAAATAGGAAGTATATTGACCCTACTCATGCAGTTCATATATTTCAAGGGCAAGAAATGAGAAAAAATGCTCAGCAAGATGTCTGTGAGTTCACTCATAAGCTTTTAGAGAGACTTGAAGAGGAATTTCAACAACTACTACGGAGGCAGGGGGTTGAAAAGGAGAGTTCAGGGTGTCATGTCTCAAAGGATGCTGACTTTGACAATCCAATCATGAAGCTTTTCTATGGTCAATCAAAAAAGGAAATCTGTGATGATGATGAAGGTCCTAAACAGGAAGCTTTTGGTCAGTATCCTCTCCATGTAATGAACTATGAAGATATACATGACAGTATTCTGGCTTCAATGGCTAGCTGTATGCCCAACACACTTGGGGATGTTGTTGAACCTGTGCAACAGGAAACCTGGTTTAAGATGTTGCCACCTGTTTTAATATTTTCTTTGTCTAGATATGAATATTCACATGAGAAGAAAAGAGCTGAGAAAGTTCACAATAAATTTGAATTTCCAGAAATCTTGTATATGGACCGCTATATGGAAATTAATAAGAAAATTATAAAAGAAAAACACATAAAAGTTGCTAAGTTGAAGGGGGAATTGAATAGTCTAACAAAGACACTTGATAGATATCTAAAGTATGGTACTGGTAAAGCAAAATATCCAATTGGTGACATTCTTAAATATACATTAGATTTTGCACACACTGGCCTTAGCCCAGCATCGGAAGCAGAGGCTAATTCTGTTCCATCTCCATCTATGATGGAAGTGGATGGGGTTGAAGCCTGTGAAAATGATGTTGAAATGGCTGATGCCCCAGAAGTTAAGAAAGAACGTTTACAGGAAAATGGCATGGAAAAGAACAAATCGAGCATATTAATTAAAGGTGAAACTATTATGAATAATTTGATATTAAAAGAGGAACTAGTAGCAAACAATATAATAGTAAAGGAAGAATCATTATCTAATAGCCTTGGCTCAAACGAGAGGGAAGCTGATGAGGAACCTCAGCAGATGCCATCCCCATCCAAAAGAATGAGGATACTGCCTCCAGCACCACGAAACATAACTTCTTCAGAATTGTCCATTTTGCAGTCTTGTCTTTCACGTTGGCTTCAGGATATAAACTTGCAAGTTGCAGAGCTCCGTCGATGTATTGCTGAGCTCGAGCAACAGCTGTATCAAATGTATGATGAACCCTTCCTGAAAAGGATACCATATAGGTTGCATGCTGTTGTAGTTCATGAAGGGCAGGCCTCAGGGGGCCACTACTGGGTTTATACATTTGATAATGTACATAAAACATGGAAGAAATTCAATGACATACAGGTTGTAGATTCTAACTGGGAGGAACTTTTGCAGGATAGTGTTGGTGGGCAGAATAATGCAAGTGCATACTGCCTTCTCTACATTGATGAGAGTCGCTATAACACACTCTTTCCTCAAGCTCCAGAAAACATGGAAACTATGATGGCCAACATTGCTATTGACTTACAGGAGTATGTCAAGAATGACAATTTAGCTTTTATGAGAGAGTTAGAGGAGTGGGATACTAAACAGGAGAAAAGTGACCAAGGAAAGGACCCTGCGGTGGGATTGCAGTATCAGCAAAGTGGCAGTAGCTCATGGGATAATAATATGCCATTAGTACCAGTTACAGCACCCAACTCTCCTGATATTATTTGTGTTCAAGAAGCTGATGAAGCAAGTTTTTTCACCGAGGTTCAAACAATGCTCACTCAGACCATTCTTGATGCTCTTGCCAAGAAAGATGAAAGTACATTACAAAGAGAACGTGGGGCTCTGTTGAATACTATCTTGATTAATGAATTTGTACGTCTTCAGAGTTTTGCTGATGTAAATCCTGAGAGTAATCCCTACAGTGAACCTTCTATTTTAGACTTTGGAGTCTACCTCATACGAAATAACCAAAATATAGGTTCTCTTTTGCGGTGGTATGGATGTGAGGTAGTCTTACAAGTAGCACAGACTGTAAATGAGCGCACACCTGTAATAGAAAGAGTAGCACAGGAAGCTGCACAATACTTGCATCAGCTTCGTGAGCAGCACCAACGTACTGAAGGGCCAGAGTACCGTGGTTGGCGACGCCATTACCGCACTCTAATTGACTGTGCATGGCACTTAGTTTTCGGGTATCGTCAGTATGAGAAAGGTCATTTAGAACGTGCTCTACCTCTCTTGCTCCGAGCTTGTCGATTTCACACAGAGTTGAAAGAACGACCACCATCTGGTACCAAAAAAACGTTGGATAGAAGAGTGCTCTGGAAGTGTAGACGTACATGCTTATTGGCTCTAAATGAACATCTAATAGAGACATTTCTTAATGGAGAAGAGCAACAAGTTGGGGAAATTCATGGAAATGTGACTTCACTGATTATACCAGCTTTAACACAGTTAGGTGCTTGTGGTGTTGAAGAAGACAAGGCAACGGCAGATGATGTTCGTGCTCATTGGTGCCAGCTATTGGAAAGGGAAATAGGCTCTCCAGCTAAATCCAAAATGATTGGACAGATATTGGAAGGGGTGCTGAGCGGAGGGGGTGAAACCAAGGGAATACTTCCGGTGCAGATCCCTCGTCCTCCAACTGTTCTTGCACTGTATAAGCAATATGTGGAAACTTGTAGTGCTGTTATGACAGCTACAAGTAAATGTAAGACCCAGACTAGTGATTTGTGAGATTTCTGTTCCTTAGTCCTTCCCCCACATTCACGACCTGTTGTTTTATTATATACGGAGACATGTGATTCTATGGAAAAGCTTTAGTTATATGAAGATATTCTTGCTAAAACTGTGATAAACTTTTGAAAGTGTTCTGGATCAGAAAACACTTAGAAAAGCTTTCCTCTAGCTTTTTAGCAATCAACGTAAGTTGCTCTAACCAAGCCAAGTTATGAAAAATATAAGAAGTTATGTATACGTATACAGTGTATTGTATTCTGAGAAGAGGCTTCTTGCACATCCTCTGGAGAAAGGAAGCCGACTTTAACTACCTAATAATGTTTGTTTAATGCTCCTTCTACCCTGTAATACAGGGACGCTTATGCCACCTTAAAAGTACGTGTTGACCGTTGCTGGGAGAACTTACCGGTATTGTAAAAAAAATTCATGGTTTTTTGTTTTATTTATTTATGGTGTTCATTAGTTTTTTTATATTTAATACATACCCACACCCAACTCTGCTTGCTATTTTTGGAGAAATCATGTCATCACATCCTGCCAAGCTGAGATTAGAAATAATTAATCTTCTATTAATACATCTCTCAAGAAAGAAGAGTAAGAGACTGTTGAAGGAGTTCCAAGGGAGACCAAGTGGATGCTCTTATTCTTACCGTAAGTGTTCTTAACTGCTGATGCTCTACCATAGCTAGTTTTGAATGTTTACTTGCAAATTTATCACAGTGGAAAGAGTAGTGGTGATACAGATGTATCAGTCTGCATCTTAAGTAAATATTAATTATAAACAAATTGATCAATTTGAAGATTAACATTTACCAGTAGTGCAGGCTGTAATGTAATACAGTGGACTCCCGCCTTACGATATTAATCCGTTCTTGAGAGCTCATCGTAAGCCAAAATTATCGTTAGCCGAATTAATTTTCCCCATAAGAAATAATGGAAATCAAATTAATCCGTTCCTGACACCCCACAAAAAATTTTTTTTTACCACATGAAATATTAATTTTAATACACACAAACTGAAGAAGACATGCACAATTACTACTCTACTAAGAATAGAATACATGACACTTACCTTTATTGAAGATCTGGTGATTGATGGGATGGGAGGAGGGGAGAGTGTGAGCTATTGTTTAGAAGGGAAATCCCCTTCCATTAGGACTTGAGATAGCAAATCCTTTTCCGGGGTTACTTCCCTTCTTCTTTTAATGCCACTAGGACCAGCTTGAGAGTCACTGGACCTCTGTCGCACAATAAATCTGTCCATAGAACTCTGTACCTCCCGTTCCTTTAAGACTTTCCTAAAATGGGCCATAACATTATCATTGTACAGGTTGCCAACACGGCTTGCAGTAGCTGTGTTAGGGTGATTTTCATCCATAAAGGTTTGCAGTTCAACCCACTTTGCACATATTTCCTTAATCTCTTTTTTCAATTCCATACTAATTCTCGCCCTTTTTACCACAGGGATGGCACTAGAAGTTTTCTTGGGGTCCATGGTGACTTACTTTGCAGTTACAAGTGCTAAAAACACTGGGATAATGTGAAATGTACCGAATGTATGAGCAGATGCGACCGCGCTGGCTGGCTTGTAAACACTAGCACTGAGGCCACACGTGGGACGCGTCCTGGGCGAATCACGTAAGGCGAGTTTTTTATCGTGAGGCGAGGCAAAATTTTTGCGTTCAAATGCTTCGTATGGCGGATTTAACGTAACGCGATGCGTTCGTAAGGCGGGGGTCCACTGTATTTAGTGCAGGCTGTAATGTAATATTTGGTGCAGGCTGTACTGTAATATTTAATATAATTGTGCATTAAAAATTATTGTACAGTATTCACTTATACTCTTAGTAATCACAGTATGGTATTCATTTAAATTCTTAGTAATGACACTGTTAATTATACAGTCCTAATTACTAGTGTATATATAATTATATTTTTGATAATTGCTTTACAATATTCAGTCATATTCTTAATGTCTACAGTATTCAATTTTTCACCTCTTTTTAGCAAGTACAGAAGCTTTTTTTTTTATTTATATTCCACATTTAACTTCTTTTAGTAGCTGTCACATAGAACTACATCATTGAGGCCTGGGTCCCTGGCGTAGTTATTCATCATCAGCTCACCTCACTCTGATAAGCTCTGAGTGGTAAATTTTTGCCTAGATATGAGAGAATGGGTTTGTGCAGTGAGTGTGCACAGTATAAAAAAAACCTATCCCCATATATTACATGATGGGAAAAGAAAAACTAACCATGAATTTGGTTTTAAAAGAGCAATTTTGAGTTGTTTTCTAGGATGGATTTTATTGCTTTATTGGCTGTTTCTTGGTATCATTTGATAGAATGGCAAATGCATTACTCAGATAAAGATGATTTTTGGTGGTTTCAGGCCTGGAAGTACCTAGCTTGAAATCGGGCTCAAGTAATGGAAATATTTAATTTTTACCGATTTTCCTGAGGGGCTAAGACCCCCTTACATCCCCCTGGTCAGTTTTTATGGGTTTGTAATAGGTCTGATTAGGTACTGGGATGCCATAAAGCATGACCAATCAATTCTGGTTATATTTTATTATCTGGGAAATAGAGTAAATCTTTTTAGTGTGTGATTTTGAATTCAAAATGGAAGCCAAGTGTAATAAAGGAGAGGTCTGAGGATGATGTGATAAATGAATAGAGAATATGTTTTAGTGCCAGGAATGTCTGCATTGTTTATTTTGCACTCTATTTTTAAAGTGGTATTTTTTTTAAATTTGTGAAAACTGGCCAAACTACCAACTTCTAAAGTAGTTGTCATAGTTGAATAGGTAGGAATTGACTTTAAATAGGACCTAAAATTGGTGAAATCTCGAATGCATAAATTTTCCCCCAGACTGTAAGTTTTCCATCAAATTTCATACTTTTGGTTTTCTTAACCCTTAAACTGTGCAAATGTAGATCTACGTTGTTACTGCTAGGACTCCAAACATAGATCAACGTTTTATTTTAGCTGCCTCCAAATTTGTAACGATTGGCCTGAGATGCCTGGTCAGGATAGAATGGGTCTTAACACTTGGTGTGCAAAGTACAGTGGACCCCCGGCTTACGATATTATTTCATTCCAGAAGTATGTTCAGGTGCCAGTACTGAACGAATTTGTTCCCATAAGGAATATTGTGAATTAGATTAGTCCATTTCAGACCCCCAAACATGCATGTACAAACGCACTTACATAAATACACTTACATAATTGGTCGCATTGGGAGTTGATCGTAAAGCGGGGGTCCACTGTATTTAAAAATCTGGGACCACTTAGTACCTTGTGGGAGCACCAGTTCAGTTGAGCGCCAGCTACAGCAAACAGCGTGGCAAACACCAGGAATTCACTGATGTCATGTAATATTAACACTCCCCTTTTAAGAGGAAAGTGATGTTCATCCTGAGTTCAGTGGCTTTGAGATGGATGTGGCCACAAGTGGTTGAGGAAATCTCAAAAGCCTCGATAATAACTCATGTGCTACGTTTGTGCAACATCCTATCAATCTTGATACCACTGGTAGTGTCAGCCTGCCAGAATGTCCTATAACCTATGCACTAAGACAAACAATTCTGGAACGTGTAATATGTATTCGGCTGGCCGGCCGACTGACCGACCGACTTTGGCTGTCTCTCCATCTGTATCTGTCTACCTCTATCTCTGTCTGTCTCTGTGTATCTCTTTCTTTCTCTCTCATAGGTACACATAAGTACAGTTATCATACATAGTGTAAATTACCTAGGATAACCCCAAAAACCCAGACAACATGCTATATTGTGCTTTTAGATATTGGGCATAATAAGTATGACTGGCAAGTAATGCTCACTTTCACTTGATCAGGAATCAGATGTGACGACTCTTAATCGTGTGTAAAATCTGTTGGTTCATGATCAGCTCTCTGATAGAGAAGCAGATAGACACACAGACAGACAGACAGACAGACACAGACACACAGACACACACACACACACACACACACACACACACACACACACACACACACACACACACACACACACACACACACACACACACACACACACAGACACACACACAGACAGACACACACACAGACAGACACACACACACACACACACACACACACACACACACACACACACACACACACACACACACACACACACACACACACACACACAGACACACACACACACAGACACACACACACACACACACACACACACACACACACACACACAACACACACACACACACCACACACACACACACACACACACACACATATACACAGTAGAGCTACAAGTGGAGGGAGAAGCAGGAAGGCCAGGACAAATGAAGCCAAACTACAAGAAAGGGGACTACACAGGAATGAGGAGCCTCCTGAACGGGGTTCAGTGTGGACAGAGAACTGGCAGGGAAGCCAGTTATGAGATGATGGGAATATGTAGCAACAAAATGCAAGGAAGGCTGAGGAGAGGTTTGTACCCAAGGGTAACAGGAATAATGAAAAAGCCAGGATGAGCCCATGGTTTACCCAAAGGTGCAGGGAGGCAAAAACCAAGTGTGCTAGGGAATGAAGAATATAGAAGGCAAAGGACCCAGGAGAATAAGGAGAGCAGTCATAGAACCAGAAACGATATGCACAGATAAGAAGGGAGGCCCAAAGACAATATGAAAGTGACATAGCAGCGAAAGCCAAATCTGACCCAAAAACTGTTGTACAGCCACATCAGGAGGAAAACAACAGTCAAGGACCAGGTAATCAGGCTAAGGAAGGAAGGAGGAGAGACAACAAGAAATGACCGTGAAGTATGTGAAGAAACTCAACAAGAGATTCAAAGAAGTGTTCACAGAGGAGACAGAAGGGGCTCCAGAAAGACGGAGAGGTGGGGCACACCATCATGTGTGCTGGACACAGTGCACACAACGAGGAAGAAGTGAAGAGGCTTCTGAGTGAGCTAGATACCTCAAAGGCAATGGGGCCAGATATCATACTCCCACATGGGTATTGAGAGAGGGAGCAGAGGCGCTATGTGTACCCTAACAAACAATATTCAATATATCTATCGAAACAGGGAGATTGCCTGAGGCATGGAAGACAGCAAATGTAGTCCCACTCTTGAAAAAAGGAGACAGACATAAAGCATTAAACTACAGACCAGTGTCACTGACATGTATAGTATGCAAAATCATGGAGAAGATTATCAGGAGAAGAGTGGTGGAACACCTAGAAAGGAATGATCTCATCAACAGCAGCCAACATGGTTTTAGGGACGGGAAATCCTGTGTCACAAACCTACTGGAGTTCTATGACATGGTGACAGCAGTAAGACAAGAGAGAGAGGGGTGGGTGGATTGCATATTCTTGGACTGCAAGAAGGCATTTGACACAGTTCCACACAAGAGATTGGTGCAAAAACTGGAGGACCAAGCAGGGATAACAGGGAAGGCACTACAATGGATCAGGGAATACTTGTCAGGAAGACAGCAGTGAGTCATGGTACGTGGCGAGGTGTCAGAGTGGGCACCTGTGACCAGCGGGGTCCCACAGGGGTCAGCCCTAGGACCAGTGCTGTTTCTGGTATTTGTGAACGACATGACGGAAGGAATAGGACTCTGAGGTGTCCCTGTTTGCAGATGACGCGAAGTTGATG